CCGTTACCACCACCTCTCCCACTTTAATATCGCTATCACTAGGCCATCACACTCACCAGATTAAATAATAGTATCGATCTGCAGGCCATCAAATGTTAGCCCGAGCTCCCTGCCTCTCTGCTTGATTATGGCTTCACACTCCTCCCCTGCCTCGCCGCCCACCACCACCGCCCCCACCCCACCTGCCTCACCGCCCACCACCCACCCCACCTGCCTCACCGCCCACCACCCACCCCACCTGCCTCACCGCCCACCTATCACAAGCACCCATTCAGAGCCTCCCTTCTACCCTTGTGGGCTACCACGCCCACAGGTCTTAAAGAGCGTACCATCAAGATACTCCTCCCGCCCGCCCAGCTATTTTGGGAGGTAGGATTGCATCCATGACACCCGCCCACTTCTGCTCTTGCAGCTCCTTCCTTCAATTTATTATCCCTATCATTATAGTAGCGGGGAGGGGGAGGCCTGGGGGGAGCAGGGAGGGGGAAGGCCTGGGGGGAGCAGGGAGGGGGGAAGGCCTGGGGGGAGCAGGGAGGGGGGAAGGCCTGGGGGGAGCAGGGAGGGGGGAAGGCCTGGGGGGAGCAGGGAGGGGGGAAGGGGGGGGGAGCAGGCACGATAGGCTAAGGATGTTATCTTAGGAGTAGCCTCTAGTCTATGATTAAATTTGTCGTATAATTGATTTTAATAGATCTTGATCTAGGAAGATTTAGGTCTATTGGATGAAAGGAAGTCCAGGTTATCTGGAGAAAACCGTTTATTCGCTCGGTAAAAAGTAATGGAATGCAAAGGTATAAGGTCCGACCTATAACATCGGGCTGGTAAGCTAAGATATATGAAAAGCAGGTTAACCAATTTATAACGAAAAATAACATTTTGAACGTTTATGGGGAAATGTGAGACAGAGTGGACGATGATTCATATCCTATACACATCGTAATATTTACTGCAATAATCATTTATCCATTGAACCAATTGTAGACAATGCTCGCTCTCCATATATATATATATATATATATATATATATATATATATATATATATATATGCGAACAAGCCTGAATGGTCCCCAGGACAATATGCAACTGAAAACTCACACCCCAGAAGTGACTCGAACCCATACTCCCAGAAGCAACGCAACTGGTATGTACAAGACGCCTTAATCCACTTGACCATCACGACCGGACAAAATGAGGTGATAGCCGAGGCTATTTGAAACACCCCACCGCCGGCACTCGGATAGTAATCTTGGGCATAGCATTTTACCAAATCACCTCATTCTTTGGGGCACACGTGAGGAACACAAATGCGAACAAGCCTGAATGGTCCCCAGGACAATATGCAACTGAAAACTCACACCCCAGAAGTGACTCGAACCCATGCTCCCAGAAGCAACGCAACTGGTATGTACAAGACGCCTTAATCCACTTGACCATCACGACTGGACAAAATGAGGTGATAGCCGAGGCTATTTGAACCACCCCACCGCCGGCACTCGGATAGTAATCTTGGGCATAGCATTTTACCAAATCACCTCATTCTTTGGGGCACACGTGAGGAACACAAATGCGAACAAGCCTGAATGGTCCCCAGGGCAATATGCAACTGAAAACTCACACCCCAGAAGTGACTCGAACCCATATATATATATATATATATATATATATATATATATATATATATATATATATATATATATATATATATATATTATATATATATATATATATATATATATATACACTGGAAGCAAAGAAATGCTCTACGGAAGCCATCATAATCCCATATAGTTTACAGCTAATCTATAAAAACAAGCAGAGGGGTTGATGGGAGTGATATAGGTTACTCCGCGTCGATAGGGGCAACGTACCCCAGAGTTGGAGTGATTAAGCAGCAGCTGGAAAGAGTGAAGTGAAATAGTCTTTTCTAGCGTTGCTGACTACTTGACCCTATTACGGGCTCACCATAGCCCGTGCTACATGGACACTTCGTTCTGAGTAGCTAAATCTGAAACAAACATACTTGACCCAACCCGATCCACCTGATGACTTGCCTGGGACGGTTCAGCGGCAGCCATCAAAGTCAAATGCAATGGAGCTATTAGACGAGGGCACAATTGGAGAAACAAAAGAATGTTGGAATGTCACAACAGGTGTGTGAAGAGTGCATTCCTGCTGAACTGCATACTACACCGACCTATATAATACACTCTCCTGTATTAGGTGTGAGTGTATTATATACACTCTCCTGTATTAGCTCATACTACACCGAAAACCAAATATTTTTTATGTGGAAACTAAAGTAAATGTGGCTCATCAGTCCACAATTTACCTGACGTTCATAGGTAATAAGCTATAGGCTAAATATATGTCTGGAGCAAACCCTCCTTCCTTGTAACACCTTCAGACTCCCGCTTTCCTATCACCAGTTTATTCCATCGGTAAACATCCGGCACCTAATTCAGCCATCCATCCCTTCGCAAGCAGACGCACGCAATATCTCCCTCGTCCCTTGATTTCACACAACTCGTCTTTCAAACTCTATCAACAAGTGTTCAATCAGAATTCTTGGGTAGCCTGCTATATATTACCTGTCTAAACTTATTCAGAGAGTTTTCCAGCGTCCTGTTGAGCATTTGGTAAATAATTCGACAAATAAAATGAAAGCCACGAGGCTTCGATCCGCCGTGGACTCTATCAAGTCGTGACAATGCTTCAGTCACGTTAATGTGACTTCTCTATTTGGCAAAGTTTTGAGTTTCATTTTAGATCACACATTTAGGTTAACTTGGTTGGAATTTTTGTGTACATCATTGCGTCAACTGGAAAACTAATTTACTATGAACGGTTTGGTTCATTTGTCACCTATCATTATATCTTTATAATCACCAGCTGTATTTAGCCTCAGCTTAACACTATCACAGCTACCTCATTCACTCGTGTTCATGATGATATCCTCATAATGCACCCAGAGTCTGCCAGTTTGAAATAAAGTGTCGCTTGGATTTGTTTAGACAACGAGTAGTAGATGGATAGTTCGTCTTGTAGGCCTTGACTACATGACTATCACATTCAGTGCTACCATTATAAGCTGTAAAGTTTAGCATCAATCTTACAAATTTCCGATATTAAGTTCACCTTTCCATTATAGGCTACCATTCTGTTAGGCTAAACCCATTCTCAATCGTACTGCGAGCAGCCGCGTCCAACAGTCTGGTTGACCAGTTCAGCAAAAAGGAGGCCTAGTTGGGGACCGGGCCGCGGGGACGTTTACTCCCGAAATCATGGCAAGGTAACCGCAAGGTACCACCAAGTCAAGCCCATCATCAAGCTGCTTACGACTGAGTGAAGCCTATCCTCAAACTTACAGCTGGGTTAAGTCTATCCTCAAACTTACAGCTGGATTAAGCCTATCCTCAAGTTTTCAGCTGGGTTAAGCCTATCCTCAAGCTTACAGCTGGGTTAAGTCTATCCTCATATTTACAATCGAGTTGATCACATCCTCACACTTAAAGTCCTTCCTCAATCTAACGATTGTGTTAATTAAATCCCCGTTTAATCTTACGATTTGGTTTGATCTAGGTTAAGCCCATTAATCTTATAACTCCACTAGGTTAAGTTAATCTTCGGTTTTACCACTGAATTCATTCTTCCAATTCGATTGTGCATGATGCAAATAATATTCAATTGAAACGAGGGGTGGCTTTATAATTTAAACCTCTTGATAAAGTGCGAAGATCTGAACACAGTACAGTGTCGTATGCAAGTATAAACAATATCGAAACAAAAAACCGGTTGCTCTGTATCGAAGAATCCAGTACGAGATTTATCCTCATGGTCCCGTTGGCCTCGTCGTGTCTTGCCTTTCCACCCCCTCCCCCAAGCCTCGTACGCCAACTGAGATCATTAAGGCCACATTGACTTGCTGGTGTGCTGCCGCAGCTAATTTAGTCATTTATTGTGAACCTCATACCCATCCCGTGGTCGGTGGTGGAAAGGGTTACAGAGGCAGCCATAATTAAGAGAAAATTCCCACGCGAAAAGCTCTAGCATCTCCAACATGTTCCGCAGCACTGTCGAGGGAATGTTCACTGTCATGGAATAATCCATGTTCTGTTCGTATAACATGCATTATGGTTTTGCTAGGCCTATTGGAAACCTTTATTTTATGTGGTTTGGATACATTAAAGTTTTGGATGCATTATTCAATTGATCGAGCAACCCGTCCTCAGACCAAATCCATTCCATCCAGCGGTCGACCCCAGAAACGCATTCGTCAATTTTAACATGCTGTTAATTCAAAATAGTTATTTTTTCAAATAAAAATGAAGTTATATATTAGCATGATGTGCATATTTAGGCATTGGTTAGATGTTTAGGTTCTGTTGTCGCTTATTTGTATTTGTAGTACGTGAGTGAAGCATTTATAGCGTTGTGGTTCAAACAAAAGTAGTCAGCAAAGCACTTGTTCCAGAAGTGTTGGAAGTCATCAGTTGAGTCGTGTGTAAACCGTTTTTCATTCATAAACAGAGGGTTTGGCGGGTGCATTAAATGGACTTTGGCCTTTGTTTATAAGGACGGGCTGGATCGAGAAACATAAAACGAAGTTCCAAGAAACATTATGGTAGGCTATACTTTCGGGGTTCATAGTCAAAGAAGTATGCATTATAAACTTCAAGCTGCAAGATAATTTCAAAGTAACAAATTGAACAGTTAGTAACCCATGATACACAGTTATGGTAATAATAGACGTGGGGTTGCTGGATTGTTTCAAGCGTAGGCAAGACACACACATGAAAGAATTTGGGTGGATATAAATTGTAGCTGCCACGTATAAGCCAATAGGCCTTCTGCCGTTTCCTTTATCAATGTGGTCTTGCATAGCCAAGTAACTTAGGCTATTCAGTCGGCTGACATTTTTTCTTAACTGTACAATGAATAATATGGTCCATGAAAAATTAACTATATTATTCACATTATTATTATTATTGGACCATACTCTTACCTTAAAAACTTCGGAGAAAAACCCAGAACCGATTCGTTCCATGTTGAAATCGTCGATGCGATAGAGTCGTGCCAGGGCCGAGTGTAGTGCTTGGTAAGAGGTTGACCTGGCCAGGCCCCGGCCAGCCAGGTCAGCTCTGGCGTCCTCTGATGACCTGGAGTCATGGCGTGCCAGGGGGCCTCCACTGGTCCCCCCGATGCACCAAGACACGGGGCGCGCCGGCCCCCGTCCAGGACTGCCCTTCCTCATTGTTCACAGGCGAACTCGAGCCCAGATAATATTCATGTTGGCCGTGAGAAGTCATGAGCGAAGCACTTGGAGCCGCAACACCATAGCAGCAGCCTCGACCAGCACAGGCCAGGGTGGTCAGTGACGGCCCACCACACACACCTGTAGCTCCCACCCTCCTGTGTTTATCTCCACACTACACTCGCTCCTTAACAACACTAAACACTTGACAGGCTTTCTCACGTGTTGGTTAACAATGTGCCTAGCAACCTCCTGCCCGTATGTGACGCTCAGCTCACCAAGTAACAACTCAACTTTACCAGATAACCACTTCCAGGTCGAGAGAATAATTACCCTTCAAATTAGTTTCAAATGAAAATTAAGATTTTCATGTAAATTGTTATTGATACAACAATCGCCACCACAACAATAATTCATTTTTCCTGTCGTAGGAACTTGTCAAGCCTAGTTTAGCTATAATATTGGTCAAGCTTCTGGAGTGGTGGACAAGCGCTGGAGATCTTCAGCTTGAGCCGGGACGATACGTAACCAGACTAACGTTTCACTGGTGAGTCAAGTTAATGTCCCCCCTATAACTGGGGGCGCCGAGTACACCCAAGCATATTCTTACCTCTCAACTGTTCTCGACTATAATATAGGACCTCAGTGTATATACTGGTGGTTATGGAGGGTTGTCGGAGACAGTGGCCACCAGCACCAGCTTACCGTAGGCTGGTGCTTCACTCAAAATAACCCGCACCAATCACGGTCCAGGCCAGCCTTCTCGCCTTTATTCCTGGCAGCCTCCTTTTCCTCACTCGGGTATTTCTAGCTCACTGGGCGTTACACGGAGGTATATGCCAGCCTATTTTGAATGTCGGAGCACTTGTGAGCTTCCTAGTTAAAACCAAATGCTCGTATAATTTTAGTCGTTCGGAAATCTTGGAAAGCTGGAGAAATCAGGACACAACACTCTGAACTTGCACGATTTGGAGACCTTTTCAGTGTGTAGAAGAGCACTGCACAATGCTCTAGCTCACCCTCACACACCTGACCTAATAGCACTCCAGTTAGCTGCCTCAGAATTTATAACAATTAATGTTTTCGCTGCTGCTAGCCCTCGCACACACTCGCCTCAGCCATGTTTGTTTATAACTAACTGGAGCAGCTGAGCGGCGGCCGCTGCTGGCTGAATGAGTGGTCACGTGACTGGCTGGGGGAGGGGGCTGGCACACCGGTGGTGGAGGCTCCTCTCCTTGGGTGGAGGGTCCTATCCTATGGCTTTGGGAGGGACGGGATGGGTGCCTTGGATGGGATGGGTTGGAGAGGCACCTGTAGGGGGCAGCAGAGAGAATAGGGCATCCCTGGGATGGGGAGAGGGTCTGCTGTGAGTGTTGGGGAGACTGGTGGTTGGGGGAGGGGGAGGGTAAGATTGTTGCCGTACACCGCTGCCTGCTCCACCACGCTTAACTTTCCTCAGACGATGGCTATTATGGCGTACTGTCATCTTAAGGCAGTTCAGGATTTTCGTTTAAATTTATGTGCCTGATTGACAATGTCAAAATAATTTTATCTTTATTGTAAACTATCATAAGTGCATACAGTTATTTTAATGTGTGTTTGACACTTAATAAGTATCAACAATTATTTTATTAGTCCTTATTAAATAATAATTAATTTTGTCGGGGACAGGCAGCCTCTGTATATATATATAGCCTTGGGGTGTTGAGGAACCGTAGTGGGAGTTCCTGCCATACATAACAACATTAGAATTATGGAAACCGCAGAAGGCCTATTGGCCCATACGTGGCAGCTCCTATTTATATCTTCTACCCAAACTGAAAAATGCTCTAAATGATCTGAGACAACTGTCGTGTTTGTATGGAGGCAAGCTACCTCGGTTACCAAGAGGCAATAGTTTACATGTATATTGTGACGGGTCGGAGGCAGGGCAGGGTGTGGTGTCCCCATAACTGGAAGGTCCCCGTGGTACAGTCGGGTTCGTTCTTGACTCACAATCGAGAATTCTGCGATCAAATACTGGGCGGCACAGAAATGGTTGAGCACGTTTCCTTTCACCTCATGCTCCTGTCCACCAAGTAGTAAATAGGAACCCAAGAGAAAATCAGCTTGTTGTGGGATTGCATCCTGGCGGGAGACCTATGTATCAGCCTAACATATACTGTATATATAACCTGGCTTCCTGTCCCCCGACACAATGAATTCACAATGAATATTATTCATTAAATAATAATGGAATTTTCCTGTCCTGTTGTAACTGAGGACAAGAAAATTGAACTTCGACTTAGTAATTATATTTCACTCATACAAGTTGACACAAGCTGGATCTCAACAAAATTATAATTACAAAGCATTGAAAATCTACGGAAAACACACTAAATGTTTAACACTTGACTATGAAAGTTACATGGGATCTCTATAAATGCTAATATTTCTTAAAACATTTAACTTTGCCGACCCCGACCAGCCTATGTCCGTCTCTTACCCAGGCCATTCCCCCTGCAAAGTTGGGTGAGGATAGCCCCAGGCGTCTGGCCTTCAACCAGGGACAGACACACTCTCTCTTACTGATATGAAGACTAAATCACACCAGAAAATAAACAGACGACGACGTTTCGATCCGTCCTGGACCATTATCAAGTCGATTGTGATGGGAGAGAGTTGTTGTTGTTTTAAATTCAGCAACTGGGAACAAAAAGTTGACAGTAGCACGGGATATGGTGAGCCCGTAGTGGACTTACCTGGCACAAGAGCGGGGTTGTAACTGGCGGAGGGAGGTTGTTATTGTTGTTTTAGATTTAGCTACTCAGAACGAAGTGTTCATGTAGCACGGACTATATGGACCTCCCTCCCGCACGGGAGGGAGATTGATTGATTGATTGATAAAGATTAAGCCACCCAAGATGTGGCACGGGCATGAATAGCACGTAACAGGAAGGAGGGAGACACTGGAATTAAATAAGGCAAGAGAGAGATGAGGAGAAGGTTTTATCGGGGGAAAGCGCCAAGTCATTATGACTATATAGCACTTGGAAGAGGGTGTTAGGATAAGGATTTTGGGATGGGACGAGGATGCGGGAACGGAAATGTCCAACCACTTGGACGGTCGGGGATTGAACGCCGACCTGCATGAAGCGAGACCGTCGCTCTACCGTCCAGTCCAAGTGGTTGGACAAAGAGAAAATTCTTAGAGGAAGGTAAGAGCAAGGCAAAAGATACGGATGGCATGGGTGTAATTAAGGTATAACAATAAGTACAAGAAAGTGAACGTAAGAATAAGAGGAGAAAGAAAAGGGAAGGGTAGGCTTATGTTAAGTCACGTTTGTTAGGAAGATTTGAGCATGTACTGTGAAAGGGAAGAGTCAACACCAACGCTAGGACTAAGGTTCATGTTGGGTAGGTTGTATATCAGAGCAGAGTCAACAAGACGGCATCTGTGAAGAGTAGAGGCAGGAAAGATTATTTTAGAAGAAGACATAATCACTGATGTGTAAAGCATGGAGGAAGAGGGAGATGAGAATACTTTTCTTATGTTACGGTAATCTCCTGCTTAGTCAGAAGATCCTGCCTGTTTACCAACATATCTGCATGCTCCAGTATAAGAAATCAACAGCAATACGTGCTCAGAAACCTGTGTCTAGACAAGACACCACACCCCCCTCCCTCCACCCTCTAGTACCCAAGACACCTGAACACCTGCTGTCTGGGGCCCAGCGCCACTCGCCGGTCGACCAGTTAACTGCTTGTTTAAGACTGCCGGCCGATTGGTACCTGCAACGTCAGCGCCATCTACACTAGGTCTGGACCGCATATATAAGCAGCTTACCAACAGCCAGTCCTCAGAATAATACTCTTTGTGCTCTCAAGCAGTAACATATACTGAGCCTTCCCAGGAGACAGTAGATGCATACACCTATTGTATATTGCATTTTTTGCACCTCTCTTGCCATTACGGTAACTGTCACATGTTTATATTTCCTCTGTATTTTATATTGTGATAGCAAGTGGATAATGTGATTTGTTTTATTTGATATTAAAGTAATTTTTGTTATACTAAATATTTAAAGTTTTTCATTCTTTTGGATTTTCACCCACAGCTCTCGCACAGTATTTTATTTAATGTGTTGGCATAACACCAGCCAGAATAGCCACTGCTCTATTTTCAGATTTACGTCACATTAAAGTGGGGGCCTGTCCGGGAGATTTAGGGATTACCATAACACTTAACAGAAGGAGGATGGTAGTTAAAGATGTGAATGTACATACCACTATGCATGGGTCTGTGGTAGACAGAGAAAGAGAAACCGGACACAGAGCTGTGAATGTGAACATCAAGAAAAGGAAGGAGGGAATTAGATTCCCATTCAACTTTGAAATGTATAGAAGGAGCCAGATTGTTAAAAGAGGAGAGGAAAGGCTGGAAAAGACTAAGGTCATGAGGTCATAAAGCAAAAATATCAACATAGCTAAGCCAGAGAGAGGGACGAGTATTAGTAGTGGGAAGAAGAACGGTTTCGAAATATTCTATATAAAGATTGGCGAGAACAGGGGAGAGAGGGGAACCCATAGCGACACCTAAAGTTTGAGGGAAGAATTTTCCATTAAAAGAGGAGATAGAGTCAACACAGAGTCTGATGAGTTCAAGGAAAACGTCAGTGGAGAGCTGGAGATGAAGACAGCCCTCAATTGCCTTATGACTAAGGAAAGAGAGAACGTCATCAAGGGGAACATTAGTAAACAGAGAGTTGACATCAAGACTTAGCATCTTGCAGAAGGGCTGCAGGCGCAGTCTTTCTATGAAGTCATGAGAGAGACGAAGGTGGGCGGGAGAAAAAATGCCAAGGTAAGGCGTCAGAATTTCAGCAAGCCAGGAGGCAAGAGGATAGCCGACAGAGCCACTTGAAGAAATTATAGGACGAAGAGGAACACCAGGTTTATGTCTTAGGTAGACCATAGAAATAAGAAAGAGAAGGGCAGATGACACGGAAACGTTGAATTATATCTAAATCAGGAGTACAAAGACTAGACAGCTGTCTTAGTTTGCATTTGAAGGAAGTTTTAAGGCGATCCAAATGGTTAGAATTTAGAGGAGCATTTGTACGGGAGTCAAAGAGCAAGACATCAGCTTTCTGGAGCGAGTCCACACGATCAAGGGCAACCACCGAATTGCTTTTGTCGGAAGGAAGGATAAGAATAGAGTTGTTAGTTTTCAGGGAGGCAAGGGCAAGCTGGAAGGGACGAGGAAGGTGGGGATTTTTAGAAAACAAACTGTCAAGAATGGGGATAAGAGCCCCCATGAAGGCAGACAGGTCCGAAAGAGTACTAAAGGTAGAATTGACAAACTTATCAAAGGAATCTCTTATTATATATTTTTTAGTGAAAATTTGACCAAATCTAACATATCCTAACCCAATATAACTAAGTTAACAGAACCTAATCCTAATATATTATTATTGTTAGGAATGATCTAATTCGGAAAGAAATACTTGAAAATTAAATTCCTCTGCCTGTTAGGCATATCGAGCCTTGCTTACTAGGCCAAGTAGTGTGGTTTTTGGCTATTAGGTACTTGAAATTGAAATAAGTTTATTGATGTAAGTGATAGATACTAGTGAATGTACTATAGATACTTGTTCTCGACTCACAATTGGATATCCCGGGTATGACTCTCAGGTGGGACAGAAATGATTGGGCACGTTATTATGCACCCCATACCCATTCTGAGGGCGGTAGCGCAAAGGGTTACACAGGCACATAATGGGCTCAGGGACTGAACCCCAAAATTCATTTAGCTAATCATTGGAACAAGAGAGTCTTCGCTAGGGGTCGTTCTCTTTTTATCAATTCTCAACACAAAGAATTGCAGCGTGGGGAGCAGGGACTTCTTTAAATTTTGAGCAATTATCCTACGAGCCAATTTCTTCTTTGACTAAAACATACAATATTATTAACCCATTTACTACTTTCATGGGGATGGGAGGCAACAGCCTAGATAGAAAAGGTAACTAAAAATGCAAATAATAAAAACATTACAAATATCACTGGCCCGCTCGTGTCGTCCCAAGATTTACCTGTGGAACATGATGGTGAAAACTGTGTCGAAATAGCTCTGGATCTCATAAAAGACAAATTGCAGCTCATTCTAAACAAATCTGACGTTATTGCTGCCTACAGAGTAGGCAAAAAGAATCCATCAAGTCAAAACCAACGGAAAATTCGCCTGAAGCTGTCTTCCCAGTTCACGAAATCCAATCTAGTCCGGACAGCTGTAGCCCAACGGACGGGATTATACATCAACGAGTGCTTGACTAGGAACAGAC